GGTAAAAATTCAGATATTTATGTCAAAATTATATCTTCGGATTTACATGTTTTTTATATTTTTTTCTGTTGTTGCTTATTCAACCTTTCCAAGCCTTTCCAAGCGTTTCGTGCTAGCTTATCGCTTTGCTTCCTTCCAAGTTTTTTCGATTCAACTTTTCAAGGCTTAGGACTTGTTATTTCTTTGAGATACAGCACGGGCTAGCTTTTGCACTACTGTTTCGCTTAGGGATGGGTTTGCGACTTGCGTTTTTCTGACTAAGAACTTACGATTTAAACAAAAAGTGAAACTTTGGATTGAACAGTATCCGACAGTTGAATAAAATTTTTTTATTCATCTACTTTCCTGTAGTCAACACTGTGAACCTTTTGACTCATTGCAGTGGAAATTCAGTTGTATAAAAGTGCTTTTTTCTTTGATTTTTCTTTTATTTCTGTTCCCTCTGAAGCTGGCTTGGTGGAGGTTGAAGGTGAAGGTCAGTTCGTGGGAATGAGGTAAAGGTTGCGAAGGGGTTTCTCTTTGACTACATTTTTTCTTTAGTTCCCTCGCCTATTTAGTACCGATTAAACGATAACTGTCGTCGAAGGTGAGGTAGGCGAGTTAAAAACTTACGCACTTAGCTGGTGATCTCTATTCGTAAGGAAAACATAACTTTGAGACATAGGTAGAGACAACTAGAACGGCGCTGGTCGGATTCAAATTCGTGCTTCCTATTAAGTAAGGTCTACTTAATGGAATACGAAGACAGTGGATGGGAGAAGACATCCTTCTTTTACGCATCTACTAAATGGTCAATGCTCTTAGATTTTTTTGAGTTTTGTTGAAGCTATGGAACGGACGGAAGATAATCTAAAATTACTTTTGTTCTCTTCTGTAGTTGCCTTTAACTTTAGTAGCGTCATTCCATTAAAAGCAAATAGTTTGAGGGAGAGAAATCTTCTAGAGAAGTACATATTTTCCAGCTGCTTGTTAAGTCCTTGTCCGTTCTGATCTCTTTCGTCTTAGTCCCCAGGATTCTTAAAAAGAATTTTTTTGTAACGATAATGGGAAACGAGAACGCTCGAGATGCAGTATGGCAATGGATAGTTTTCTGATTCCTTTTTTTCTTTGACGGGGTCTTTATCTGGTGGTTTTGTAGCCTTGAAATATCTTATTCGCGAGTAAATTCAAACTGGAGTTTTATTTTATTACGGACTACAGTGTGTTACTGGGGGGCGGTTAGTTTGCTGGAATGGCTAGTGAATTTAGGCTTCATTATGAACAAGGTTATTTCTCCTTATCTTTTTTAAAATATTTTTTATCAATTCACCAGTTTTATAGGTTCTTTCAACCTTTCTGCTTGTCTGCGACTTTCTTCGCCTTCACAAAGTTCTACATAAGTTATGTAACGACACGTCTTGTTCCTCTACCAGTTGTTTATTTGGAGGTTAGGAAATATGTTGAAGTTATTAAGTCAGTGCAGAAAGATTTTAGCTGCAAAAAATCACTTCTGTTGTGAGTGCTAAATATCACTGGTAATTCTTTTTTTTACACTTGTCTAGCTTTAAAGCTCACGTCTATGGCTTAGTGACCTTTATGGATTAAGCAACTTAGGTTTTTGAGTTACATGCAGGAGAGCTGAATTTTGGTTTCGCGAATGTTGTCAATTTGATTTTAAAAAAGGATAACGTTATTAGGGATATTGAAGTAATTTCCTTCTTTTTTGAAGCATAGATTGTAACAAAGTCACGGCCTTATTTTTGCCCTATTTTTGTTTCTCGAAAGAATGCATGTGAAAATTCTTTTGTTAGGCAAACATCGCTTCTGCTCCATAATTTATATATTTTCTGGGTAAAAGAGTATGGTGAATATTTGCTTAATTAAGAAAAGCTAGAACTTTGAAGATTAACTTTTTGGAACGATTCAGCAGGTTCTTTTGGCTGTTTCTTTATATATACTTTTTCGATTTTTCTGATCTTTCTGACAATTTCTCACTTACGTTTTTAAGTTGAATGACATCGGTTTTACTTAGCTAGTCAAACGAGAATTCTAGTATCGTTCATTGACACGGAATTGGAATTTGCTGGCGTATTTTTTAAAAAGTGATTATGTTAGAGAATTTTAAATGGTTACTTCTGTTATAACGGGGAGTTGAATATTTTGAGATGTTGCTATCTCGCTTCAACGAAGCTGGCGCTGAGCCTGCAGTTAAAGCCTTGTGTCGTAAGGTATCTTCATCTGTATTGGAGTACTTCTTGAAGATTTTTGGGATTTCCAGAACCAACTCAGTTCAGGTCCGACGTCTTTTTTTCTGTTGGATTTTTATGTTTATTTTTCATACAGTTGAAAGTGTGTTTGTTATTGTGTCTTTGGTTGCTTCACCGAGTTTCTACTCATCTGTTATACTTTTGTTCATACTTTGAGGGAAATTATTATTTTGTTTCTGGATACCTATGTAAGTGTAATTTTTAAATAAGTTTTTTACACTGTTTAGCTGTAGGTTGGAGTAAGTTGTTAGCTCCATTACTCTTATCATAGCACATTACTCCTGAAATATTGCTTTGAACCTCCTTTCGTGCATCTTCCAGTCTTTGGTTTCAGCAGAACATTTTTTATTTTTATTTTTTCCAAACTATTTGTAGCAGCTGTCATGAAGACTGCATTTTTTCAGTACAGTTTCTTGCAAACTTTTTCTTTAGAGGGACAAATTGCGTTAGTTAGTAAACATAGTTAATTCTCAACCTTTTTTTTTCGTACTGTGTTTTGATTTCTGGAAATATTCTCATCCTTTATTGTATTTTAATTAAGAGAGAGTGATAAGTGTGCAAGACTTGGTTTTTTAAACAAAAAGTGCAGTTTTATTCTAATTTGGCACTACCTTTTGTATAAATTATTCTCATTCTTTTTTTTCACGTAGGTCTACTAATTTTTTATTTGTGAGAGGAAAACTGAAATCTTTTTTAATTCGTGTTTAATTTTAGGTCGATATAAAGAAAGATGTGGAAACTGACGTGAAAGATTCTCGTTCGGTTGAAACTAATGACGCAAAAGCTCAGACCATTGTTGCGGTTGGGAGAGTCAATGATAGCAGCGTTTGTTTTCTTTATCCTGATTATTTACATATTTATTGTTTTGAGAGGCTTGACGGAAATAACTGCTTTACTTATATTTATCACACTTTTTCATTGGTTATTTTCTGAGTCGGTTTTAAATTAAAATTCTCTTTTTATTTTTTATCTACATGAAAATCATTTGTTGAGTAACGTAAATGAGCATTGCAGGACGTCACATTCTACCATGCTCTCATTGCTTCTTTCTCAGTGATTGTTGTGTCGGAACTAGGGGACAAAACTTGGTTTATTGCAGCGATTATGGCAATGAGACATTCCAGGCTAACAATATTTTTTGGGGCTATGAGTGCTCTTGGTTTAATGACCATTTTGTCAGGTGTGTATTTTAAGAAAGTGACGTCTTCACCTTTTTATTTTTCTCAATGAGTAAGGAAAGTTCAGGTATTTATCTGCTTGACGATCTGCATCCAATTTTCCTTCTCAACTTTTCATTTTTAATTCCAGTTTAAGTTTCGATTGTTCTCGAGGCTTTGATCTAACATCCAACGGTTATTCGTAATTTTGTTCTATCTCGACTTAATCCTTTTTTCAGCCCTTCTTGGATATGCGACACAGGTTATTCCACGAGCCTTAACTTACTATATCTCAACGGGATTATTTGCTTTGTTTGGCATAAAAATGCTATACGAAGGATATCACATGTCTAGCAATGAAGGCCATGAAGTTTATGAGGAGTCAAATGCTGAGATACAGAAGAAACAGTTACTGCGTGATACAGATGCAGTTTCAGATATTGAAAGCGGTAGGAAAGCTGAAAGCAAAAGGTTTGTTTGGATTTGTCACATTTTAGAAGGTGTTAGAGGAGACTTTTTTTTGGTAGACGCTTTATTCTTGGGCATTTTTCCTTTTTACGACTCTACCTCTTGTTTCCGACACTGGATTAATCGAAATTATTTATTGTATAGGAATTAAATATGCTTTATTAATTATTTTTCTTCCACTTTTATACTTTAGTAAAACAATGGCACTCCTGAGTTTCGTTTCAATTTTGTTCCTGGAAGCATTTACATTAACATTTCTCGCTGAGTGGGGCGATCGTAGTCAGCTTACAACAATTATTCTCGCAGCTCGAGAGAATGTTTATGGCGTAATATTAGGTGGTATCACAGGTCATGCATTATGTACAGGAATTGCAGTTATAGGAGGAAAGTTAATAGCAACAAGAATATCCGTCAGAACAGGTTATTTTGATTTTGTTAAGGTCTTTTTTTGAAAAACTTTCAAATTTGGTTTCTGTTTGGCACTGGTTTATTCTTTGCCTAGGTGTTCTTTTTCCAAACCTTCGATTTGAGCACATTTTCAAGTAAAAGACACCATAATATGTTCATAAGCTGATTATTTTCAGTTACTTTAATTGGTGGCGTCGTTTTTATCGTCTTTGCCTTATCAGCCTTCTTCATCAATCCTCAGTGAATTTTACTTTTGCGAAGAAGGATATTTTGAACGCCACGATGTTTTAAAACACTATTGGGAAGCAGATTTTATACAGTATAACTTTCGCATCCTTTTTATCCCCTTCGCTACGGCGTTTGTGTCCACCAGTCGGAAACTGTATAATTATTATAGGAGAATTTAATATAGAAAGAATCTTTAAGTGGAACTTGCTTTATTCCAATTACACTGAGCGCAGTGTTTTACTGCTGGTATTTCGTTATTAGCTGGCTAGTGAGGTTGGGCTCTCGAGTTTCTCTGTGAGAGTAAATTAAAAATTTAGGATTCTAGGAATTCAATTCTTTTGACTTTTTATAGCTATCTCACATTTGTAAAAGTATAGCATTTAGAGGCTTTTAAGATTTCGTTAGCACCGTCTTTCGTCCCTATCTCGTTGCTTGTCGGACGGTAGAAACTATATTACTCTTTTGGAAATTGTTTGTACATTTTGTTTCAATCAATTCGGTGCTTGTTTATTAGAACTGTCCGTGCAGTCGGTCCTAGCTAATTTTAAAAGGTCCCGTTGTTATATCTGTTCCATTTGTTTTGATTAATCAGCAACGATTTTATTTGCGTTTTGCTTCTAAGTGTCTGTGACGTGGCTTTAATCAGTGGTATGATTTGTCTTTAAAATTTATCTGCTTATTTAAGTCGTTGAAAGGTCATGTTGCTCATAATTTTGTGATACAGTTCATTAGTCGCTAACTTGTTGTTGATGACTGAGTCCCTTTAACTTAAATTATGTTGAAGTTTACTTTCATAAATAGTTCACTCGTTTTATTTGGAGTGATTTTGTTTGAGAGGCGAGGCGTTGTGGTCTTGAATCAAAATTAAACAGCTGGCTCTGTGGCTGCTGTTAATAGCAGGACAGTGAAAAATTTAGATGTTCTTTAAAGTGGAAAATGCCTTTCATCTTTTTCTTTTAAAAAATTCAAACCACAGTACCCTCACAATTTGTCCTTGAAATTTTGATACTTTCTTTAGGTAACTGGTGAGTAGGTATTAATAAGTGAAATATTGCAAGAAAATATTGATGCACTTATGTGTATTATTAAATGTTCTATAGATTGCATGCTGGTGTTTTAGATGTAGAAATCATGGTCGTAGTGGTGAACTCTGCAAATTTTGTTCAAAGTTGGTGCTGGGTGTTACTTTTCTAAGGAACTTTTATTGGTATTGGTAGGCATTCTGTCATAGTATACATTGGATTGGTGCTCCTGCAGTTGCGCGAGCTAATTACCATGCCATTTCTGGGCAGCGTTTGTGGTTTACCATTTTGCTAAGTGGGGTTTGGTGCACTCTCTTTATTTCCCTGAGTAAATTTTATGTAGTTTAGCAATCGAGAACGAGATGTATGTTACGGAAGTTTCTGGTGTTATTTAAGCACCAAAAATGCACGTACATTGCTTAAACAACATACAATGTATCTGCGCAATTCGCGTTAGATGTCCAGAAGTTAATAATTGGTATGGCAGGACCACATCTTTTTTAATTGATCCAAGCCGCTACTTAAAACGTTACTGGTGTTCCGTGGACAAAAGTCCTTTTTTAACCGTAATGGGTCACGCTTCACCATTGCTGAAAACAATGACCGTAACTCAAGGCTCGTGGTTTTGGTCTGCTTGTCTAATTGTAAATTTTGCTTCAGTAAAACGCTTTGGTCAAAGGCTTAAAACTGATGTTGGGAGGCGGGGGAGCGGCAGAAACTAGGGAACTCAGTCCCCTGAACTAAAATGACATTATTTACGAGGGCCTGTTTTGCGTCAGGTAGTCCCTCTTCCTCGTCCTTAAACAACACATTTTGGTCGCATAAAGGCTGTGTTATCACGTTTGAAGCACAAGGCCGTATCCTCTCTAGAAATTTTTTGCAACCACACCTCTTTGCTTAATATTTTCTGTCACAGCAATGTTGGTCGGCGAATTATAAGAGAGCAATGAGAAATAGCTGTGCACTTCCGTTGCTTGTTAAGGATGCATCTCTATGAAAACCGAATTGAGACTGTGAGCTAACTTAAATGTTTTCATAAACTTTGCAGACCCCTCCGGACACACTCAAGATCAGTTTTCGGCAAGAGACTGTCCAGTCTCCAGAGTTTCCTCTGTATGGAACAGTTACGGATAAGGAGTAAACGACCGATAACTTATTCGAGCATTAAAAAGTAATTCGCACAGTGATGCAGTGTAGAAATCAAGACCGTAAAGCAATATACTGTATAATTTGAAAGGCGCTGATGCAATTCGACTACATGTACCTGCAAAATCAAGGAACTATTTTGTCTATAAATAAATGACACCCTTCCGTCTCACAAAAAAACAGCCGTAAAAATGGAAATCTCGATTTTTCACATCAAAGTGAAAAACCCAGAAAGCTACTTAATGTCCAAAGTAACAACCATAATAAATGAAAAATAACGTTTATTTTGAAGCAATAGGGAAGTCGAGTCGCGACTTCAGTATAGCTAAAGTCATTAAAACGGCTTCTTCTGTCCTTATTGTTCGACTCCCTTGTCCATCAGCAATTTTAATATAATGAGTAAAGATCTCGTCAGGACTGTTAGACAAAAGTTCTTCATCCGCTTCTACTGCAGCTTCTAGCCCGCTCAAACCTCCAAATACAACCAGAATTCTGCTAGAAAGTTTATATCATTGCCATTTGGTAGAAATATATGGTACATGTTCCTTGTCACTGCATATTTAAAAAAGTACGGAACTTGAAGTCAAATAAAATTCTAAAACTTTCTTTTGGATAAAAAAGCAATCTCATAAGCAAGGACCTTTTCTTCGCTGTTGGAAGATGCACTTTTTCGATGGGCACTCCTCTCTCTGATGTACCCAGTATCAAATCATATGGAGGGTCGGTTTTTAAAGCATCAGAGAGACTTCTAGCGAGACGTACATTGTAACCCCAATAAATGCCAGCTACACGACGAATGCGGCTTGGACTTGATATCTGACCCCGATAACGCTTCGCATCTAGAATTCTCGAATGCAATACAGCAATGCTCACTAAATTGCTTTTCTGGACTTGAAACTAAGCAAAAACTTTCTCTTTTCGGACTTCTGGGCAAGTCACCATACCTCCTAGACTGATTTAATATTTAAAACGAAAATTATTTACCAGGGTTGATGTCTGTTAGTTCTACCGTAATACGAGTCAACGGTGGCAGTTCAATCTCTTTTTCTAATTCTAGTTCCTAAAAACAGCAAATCAAAGTTTGTGGACAATAGCTCTTTTTAATTTCTTAAATTTTTGAAGTTTGTGTTGACTGCACACACTCTTATTTTTCGACTAAATAAGCAAATTTAAATGTCAAGAGGATCTACGCAAAGCAGTAAGTTGATATTTAGAAACTAAATCTACAAAGTAAAGTGTACTTTATCAAGGCCAACGTCGCAGTATGGTCCGCGTCCCTTTTTTACTGGTTTATCGAGAACTATTCCTTCCCGGTAAGGAATTGAAAAATCATTAGCACGCAAATGGTGAGGACAGTCCAAAGGATTTAGTACACCTCAAACGTTTCCAAAATTATGCATATCTCAAACTTCTACTGAATTTGTCTAAATAAATTCTTTTCGTATATAAAGATAAAACGATAAAGAGCAGCGAAGGTTACAAACCAGCACAAGACAAAGACTTCTGTAATGGAAAAAGTCCTTTCCTCAAGTACTGTGGACACTCCAAATACTCTAAAATACGAGCCAGGTGAAAATTACATTCTGATTTGTCATCTCGCAGAGGTTTCTCACCCTTCCAGTTTCCATTATAATAATTTCCGATATGACTGAAAACAGTGAATGTGCCACATGACAGATAAAATTTTTTTCAGAAAGAACGAAGCAAAACCCTAGTGCTGATATTACTCATTATTCTTATGCGCCTCTTTTTGATAATAATCAGCTTAGTACTACCTTCTCTCAGTAAGAATAAAGATTTAGCGCTTTGTCTTTACGAGCAAAGGAGCCTGAGAAATTTCTCAGTAAAGGCTTGTCCTTAACTTTCGCCAGATGTATGCAGAAATTATCTAACCACTTTACAATACTGTTGTAATATTGAACAGTACTTTGAAGTTATCCGAGCATATTCATCGAAGATAACTACTTCATCCACACATGAAATAGTTGCAGCTCT